GTCTGTCTGTCTGTCTGTCTGTCTGTCTGTCTGTCTGTCTGTCTGTCGGTACATATTATACACGACTATTTTTCGCATACTGTGCTTATCAGGACGCCCGTTCAGGAGTGCTAGTGGTTCAGGGGTGTCTTCGAACCACCACCCAATGGGATGTGTTTAGGTTTGAGAAGGATATTGAAATTGCAACTCCAGCTAGGTGAAGCTCCTGCATCACCTGTTCAATATACGGTATGCATATGATGTCCCCAAACAAGACTTCCAAGAAGAAACAAATGCCATGGCAAGGATCACTGGTTGGTTGGCAAAACTAGCATGTACAGTGTAGGATTGCAAAATACCAGAAAGTAGTGTGGAAATGGATGGAAATGGTCCACCTTTTTGCCTGAAGCGATCTGGACTGTTCTTATGAAAGTTGGCGATTGCTCCGCTGTGTCCTTGCCAACCTCTAAGCACGCCACTCGTGACTAGTGCCTATCGCGCACCCCATGTTCCACCCCTTTTTCCTGGCAAAAAGAACTTCCCCACGCCTGCGGCGGCAGCCCTGGTTCTTTCCCACGAACTGCCTCCCAATCCTGTCGAGCATTCGATCAGGATTCTTACCGGCATCAGCTGGCTCTTGGGTTATTTCCTCAACCACCAAACCGACCGCAGAGTGCAGGGCCAAGCTCTTCACTGGCACATCACCTCCTACCAGTGGCCCTGAGTGTCCCATAAAACATGCAAGTTTTCGCATACTGTACCAAAAGCCATGTTTGTTGCTATCTATCATATGAGGGAAAAACGGTTTTTGACGGTTTTTGTGGGACCATCCGGAAAGTGGTCAAGCCCCGGAACCGGCGAGGAGTGCAGGTCGGATCTCTCCACGGGACGCGGTGCAACATCCGTCGTGAAGTTTCAGCGTCATACACGTCATTTCTTGAGGGTGCGACATAGGGATGTGGATTGGAGATGGGTTGGAATGGGGAGACGGCCCTGGAAGGGAAATAAGCCCAAACCACAAGCCCATTCCTTGCGGGTCTCCCTACTGTCAATACACACCCAATTGATGATCTTGGTGGGTCGCACACACCAGATTTCGGTCATGTGCACCCTCGTGTTTGAGTCGAGGGAGTGCATGAGCGCCAGCTTTTGTTTTCACAGGCGTGGCTTCAGTGCTGGCACCAGCTTTTACATGCTTTTACTGAAACCTCGTGCTGCTTTTCATGGCGCAGCGCTGGAGGAGAACCAGCACTTGGCCAGTCCAGGCTGGCTTTCAGGGATTGCACCCTGACGGAACTTTGACGTGACTGGTCACCACACCTTCCAAGTGACGGACTCGACTTGGATCGCCCGAAAACTCACTTTTGGTCACGCGCTGGCAAGCTTTAGCTTGGGGGAGGCCTTTCATTTTTTTGAAATGATGTGTTTTTGAGTCCTTTGAAGATTGATAAGTATGGCTTCGGAAATGAACGTTCGCGACGCCGGCTATGCAGCCCGGGGGACGCTGCATTATTGACATCGTGGGCGTGTTCGTCCGTGTGTCCTGCCCGAAAGAAACAGACAGACTGACAGATCAATACAGACATACCGAGACAGACAGACTGAGACAGACAGACCGAGACAGACAGACCGAGACAGACAGACCGAGACAGACCTACCGAGACAAACCGACCGAGACAGACAGACCGAGACAGACAGACCGAGACGAACAGATCGAGACACCCACCTGCCATCAACCCAAACCCATAAACTGTTTCATCACACACCTCCTTGATGGATGATCATTCTACATGATCACTCAACCCATGGATGGGCCACTGCCCCTCCCGTTGCCAGATTCAGCACCTTACACTTACACGAGCACACCCAACACCAAAAAAGCACTCCAAATCTCACTGCAGCAACCCGAACAGAACTTCAGAACCCGAGCACCGTTCCTGATGATCCTGGAAGGGCAGCCGCATCATCTGCGCAATGCCCTGCTTCTCGAAGTCAATCAGCTTGGACTGGGTCGCTGCGTCGCGCTGGTCAACAGCCCCAGCACACCACCAGGGCCCACTCAACTAGGGACGGGGAGTTTTTGTCCATGGGAGTGCACACCACACAAACGATACTGTACATGAAGAAAACATGGCCATGCCCCGACAGGATACAATATGGTTCCACCACAAACCCGATGGCTGTTCACTTTTGTGTTTAGTTTCTTGTGTGCTGTGCAGGTTGCCTTCCTGGAGGTGGCCCCACATTCTAGCGTAGACTTTTGATTTTAATAACCCACCCATATGCACAGGTTTTTCAATCCATGTCTGGAGGGGGCTTATTTTGGGTCTCTCCTACCCTACTACCAGGGGATGACTAATAGGACAGACAATGGCTTATTAATCAAGAGTCTAAATTAGCTCGTCGCCGAGAGCAAGAAACGACTCCGTCACCAACGACTCCGCGACAGTCGTCCGCGCCTGCAAGACGGTCAGCTGCTTCTGCGTGGGGATTGGTAGCCGAACAAAGCGCGTGAGCCTCATGAAAAGTGCACTTCTAACGAAAGAGCTAAGAGCTTGATTGATGAATCCTGCATACTGTACACCTCAAGTAGCCTGTCCGTGGGCGCAGCGTCTTGTCTACCGACCTATCTATCAATTTGTATAGTTTCTTGACCACCTATCATTCATCCCTCGAAAACCACACCGCAGGCACGGCCGCGCAGACTGCTTTCGCTGGTTCTCTTGCCAAGGAAGAGCACAACCAAGCACAAGCTGCTTCCATCCCATGTCCAACTGCCACAAGCAAACGATCCACGACAACGATCCAGGTTCGAGCAACATCTTCACCCCAAAGCTATGGGAGGCGATCGACGCGTGCATGCTGAGCCAAACTGCCAACAGCAAGTACCTCGTCGGGCGCAGTCTCGCTCGCTGCGCAGATTCTTCGAACAAAGCAGCTGCATCCAATTCCCATGGTGAGCAGTCAGGAGAGTTGGAATTCAAACGGAACCTAGGGCCATGACTAAGCTGGGGCTCCCTTTTTCACGAGAAGAAATCTCGCCCAGGGTTCCAAATGCAGAAAAGAGTGAATTCCCCAGTCTGCTGACTTGGGATACCATTCTCAAAATTTCTTAGGTGTGAGGAATGGTATGGATATGTTGGAAGCCTCCTACCATGAATTCTGAAAAAGGCCGGTACCCAACGAACATTAACAGAACCTGCAGTGAGTCACAGGTACACTGCCGCGACTCCTCGACCAATCAAACCCCACCTCTCCACCCGAACTCCAACAAGACCTCTCCAGGCACATGAAGGCGCAAGCATTGGAGAGCTGAAAGAGTTGCAAGACGAAAGGTGGTGCGGAGGCTTGGATGCGCCCCTTGCAGAAGACGATGATGCAGAACCTTGATCTGCTCGTCTTCGGCCGCGTGGACGGCCGCCCCGACGACGCGGTTTTTCGGAGCTCGAAAAGGCGAGCTCGGGGAAAAGGGAAGGAGAGGGAGTTGGTGGTTTTGGTTAGCGAGATGTCGTACAAGCCGCGAGTGATTTAGAAATTGAGGAAGAACCCCCTCCAAAAGCCACTTGTGGGGACGTATGCATCATCACACCACAAAGGGCCTCTTTGGAGCGATTGGAAGGTAGGGGTGGGTGCATGATCCACTTAGGTTTCAAAAACCATTCCTTTGGAACCACGTCCTCCCCCATCCCCCACCCCTATTACGTATGCATGGCGTGCGACTTGGCGAGCGGATTGATGTTTAAGCTGAGAGGCTTCATGAAGAGAGCACCGATCAAATGATACACATCCATTCCTCAGATGGCCGGTGGTTGCGAACGTCTCAGCCATGGGTTAATTACAGTGCCTCCCACGAGTGGACGGCACAGCTACAATGGAGCAGGTCCCACAATCGTTATGATAGCACCACCTGCTTTACCAGCTATGTCCTCAATGTGCATTTTTTGGATGCAAAGTGCATTCCTCCAGTGGATTTTGGGCGCATTGCTTTTCTAATACTGCATTTGGTTTTGCATTTGGTATGCAGCCGGATTCAGCTAGGCCAGGCTTGTTTTTCTCTGCGCACCATGTCAGCAAAGGACAGAAGTCCCCTGACGTTTTTTGAAGGTGAAAGAATGCATGAAGAACATATGCAACAAAAATGGAAAATATGGTTTTGAACATGAAGAACATATGCATTTCCAAACTCTGACTTTACGATTGGCGCCGGCGGCACTCTCACACTCCCAGGACGAACAGAAATATCAAGAGGAAGCACCCTTTTGCCATTCTTCACATGCTCACACATGAGATTGTTCAGCATGGTTGATTTCCCAATGCCTTGGGAACCACTGACCACCAAGAAGGAAGGGGTGCTCAAAGCTTCACGTTGAGGTAAGTTGATGAAGTCCTTGATGCATTCCTCCTCGAGAGGCCGTGCAGGGGCGGGCTCTTTCCTTTTCAGCCTTTGCCCAGCCTTCCTCACTGCCCTGTTCATGAAGAAGCCAGGAAGGAACCTTTGAATGAGAGCTAGGAGAACCAGCACTACGACGCTCCCTGTGCTCAACAAAGTCCAACCAGCTTTAACGGTCTGCGCCGGAAAAGCCCTTGCAGGCTGTGTTCGTGCATGACCGCTTGGAAGGACGAACCGGCCTGGCGCAAGCTGAACCTGCCTCACAAAAATGCATCTGCGGAATGTCAAAGAAAAAGGACAATAGCAAATAATTCGACATCTTTGCCTGAACCTACACATAGAAACTCTGACCACCTCAACAATTATCCTCTTCATTCAATCCAAACAATGAAGTGAAAGTGATGACCCTAAAACACGCATAACAAGACCCCAGAAAAACGACAAAGGCTCAACACAAATTTTCAAGAGCGAAAATTCAACGAGGCGATTGATGAACCAAAACTCCTCAGAACCATCCGTTTCGACCATTTTTTCTCCCCCGACCGTTTCGACCCGCCGAAGTCCGCCGTTTCGACCTGGTCCAAGGGGCGATCCACGGTGAGGGTCACCAGGTCCCGCACGTCGTCGCGGAAGAGGGCGAAGCGCTTCAGCTGCATGTTCAAGCGCAGCGTTTCTCCTCGGCCGCGGTTCCGCTGGAGCGGCGGACACCGTTTTGGGTTCCGCGGTCCGCGGACACCGGATTGGGTCCGGCGGGTGACACGGTGATGGACCTGTTTTGGGGTCGAACCAGCGGGTGGCAAATGAAGCGGTCGAAGGACAAAATGCCAGGCATCCGGTGCAAGTGGATGGGCATCTGGTGCCGGAGGCATGCAAATGATCATCCTACGAGAAGGGTGGATGCCGTCGCACCAAGAAAAGAACCTTCTTGAATGTTCTCTGAGTCGCAAAAAGGTGGTCTCCCTGGTCTCCACCAAGGACAGATGCTTTGGAAGGGGCGAGGCCGGACCCGGTGGAGAAGAGAGTGTTCAAATTGTGTTTTTGAGCCCAGTGGGTTGGAGATGGATGATTGTCAGGGACCAAGTTTGGGGTCTGATGTTCTGCGTGGCCTTGTTCTGCAAAAACAGGGAGCCGGGAGGTTGCGTTGGTTCTTTCCGGAGGTTGGCATGCCGTTGGCATGCGGCCTGCTTGCTCCTCTTCACCACCTATGTACATCTAGAACCAGGGCAGGTTGCTCAGGAAATCTTTTAGGAGCAGTCTACTCTAAGTCATGACCCCACAAACAGCGATCCATGGCAGTCTCACAAACTGATTCACTCACCTCACCTCACCTCCAGTCCACTACAGGTTACACGCCACACACCACAGGCCACTCTCCATCTCCAGATCGGTATCTCTTCTCCCTCCCTTCGCTTCCCTCATTCTAAAACCCACATCATTACCACCATGACTAGCCTCAGCTTGCCGCCCAGCGTCTTTGGAGCATCTGCCTCTTGTCGAACTGGAAGTTCTCACGGTTGTAGCCTTAGCGCTGAAACCCATGGGGCCATGCAGTCAGACAGTGCTTCCCATCCAACCTGTGGCAATGGGGTCCAGTGAAATCGGCTGAGCCACAGCCAACAATCCACAGATCGTGCATGTGATGACATACACGTGCATTTGGTCGTTCCAAACGAACTTCCCTCTTCAACTCTTCAAGTCACCATTGACTATTTGTGCACCACACTTCCATGGACCCATGGATACCCCCTGGAGAAAAGACCAGCTGTCCTCTTGGCCCTCCGCTCAAGCCTCCCGGCCGAAGAGTGCGGTCGCCCCGAGGGCCGCCGAGACCAGCGCCATGGCGGCCACTCGGTGCCACCCGGAGGTGGAGAGGCGACGAGGAACGGAGGTATGGCCTTGGCCGACTGCTAGACTGCGATAGGCTCGCTCCTTAATCTCTAGACATGCTGTGTCAGGGTGTCTGGGTCTGGCGGAAGTCTGCTGTCGTTGGCTGCCTGGTTTGGGTGCGGACCCGCACCAGTCCCGAGAGCTTCGGTGAGGGTGTGGGGGGCGGGCAGAACTGGCTGAGCAGCGTTGGCTGATCATGTGGACCCATCACCTCGTCAGCCGCAAGCGAATCCTTTCAGAAAAGCCTTTTGTTGAGAAGAAGTCGTGTGTTTTGGTCCGTTTTCACACTCTAAAACCCCAAAACACCAAAAATGAGCATCGGTCGTAGCTTGTTCACACACTGCATGCGTTCCTGTTGTGCTACAGGGGGTTGGAGGAGGGCTGCATGGTGGAGGACTGGGCGCAGCGTGGCACAGCGTGGGCGTGGTCTCGATGTGCTTTCACTGCCAGTTCCTTTTCTTAAGTGCGGCCACGAGCTGAGAGCCAAGGAAACGGGCAGCACCCATGGAAGAAATCTTCAGAAGCCCCCACCGTCCCTTTCCAAACATGGCTCTTCACGAGGAGTTCTTGGAAGAGGATGCCTGGTCTCAAATGTCTGCCATTTCACGGTTCAATTCAAGCATTTGTGGCGGTGAATCTGCGGCCACGGGCAGATGGTAAGCCTAAAATAGACCCGAAACTGACTTCCCACCTTCCCTGACGGCTTAGGTGCACGGCTCAGATCTTTTCTGTAACTGTGCATGGCCTGTGCCATGTGGGCGGTGGGTCTCTGCGAAAACTATCACGCCTCGGTCAAGGCGGCCTAAAGAGTCCTCCTCAGGGTCGGCTCAGGCGTTTAGGTTTCGGGGCGCACTTCACAAGCAACATTTCTCTGTGCGGGTCACGGGGGTCATCTGTCACCTAGCTGGATGATATTCACTTCTCTCAGCCTCCGTGAAACGCCGCCTCGGCCGATGTTGGGAGCCCAAACGGGGGAGCTCTCCACTTAAATCTCAAAACCGGATGGTGGGTCAAACTTCGCTCCCAGTTCAGAAAGCTTCTTGTGCGCCAGGGCATAGTCTTGGAAGAAGGCGTTCTGGTCACCTGGATAAAAGGTGACAGACTGACAGAAAATGGCGACGGGCCCCAACCAAAGGCCCCACCAGGCCGTGAAACAAAAATAAGCCACGCAAAAGAAACGCAAAGAAAGAGAGAGAGAGAGAGAGAATAAAAAAATGTCAACCTCCAATGCCACCCAGCCACCAGCATACTTGTAGAAGTATTTCTTGAACTCGGGGTCATTGTGCAGGACTTCATCCGTGGGCAGCCAAATGAGATCATCATCATCCATGGCGTCCTTTCAAATTCAAACCCTGTTGCTGCAAAGCTGGAGGCTTTGAATATCAATGTTTTTTGACCCGAACCCAGAAAAAAAAAAGGTGGGTGAACATGTGAGATCAAAACATGTAAGGTACAATGATACAAACATGGAGATGAGACACTAGCAGTATACAGCAGTGGGGTTTCTTTACAACACCTCACTGGTGTTTTGCAATGTTTTGCACACACCTTACGCCACCAAAGTTGGCTCTATGCTTATCGGAACAACAAGGAAAAGTCTCCCACGAGCGGCCCACCCCACCGGACAAATCAAGAACCCGAAAACCGCCACCCAAAAAACACCACAGCGGTGGACCCCAATCCTCACAACGAACTTGGCCACCGGCACTCCTGTAAAAAGAACATTTATATATTTATATATACAGTGTAAATATATATATATATAATATAGTAATATAACAATATATAAAAACAACATCACCTGATAGCGATGGCCTCCAACCTAAAAGCTAAAAGCGTTGGCCTCCACCCTAGATGTAACAAAATATAAAACTCTAGAGAAAACAGCTCAACTGATGAACGACGACATCCTACCACCTGGAAAAGATGGGTCTGGTCCCCAAGGCTTTGTACATCTCTTCGACCAGTCCCCACCGGCTGGCCGCAGAAAAATCCGCAGAAGCGACCTGCATCCACCCATCATCCACACCGAATCCACACCCCTGTGAAAGAAAAGGTCCACCATTTCACCAGCCCCCCAGCTTCCCCCAGAAACTCCACACCAAAGGAGTCCAGGTCCAACCACGCCGGGCTCCTTGTAGTTCGCGAAGTAGCTGTTGTCGAAGGTCAACCAGTTCTTGGTCCAAGCGCCACCGCCCACCATGCCGACGCCGCTCTTGCCATCCTTCCGCGCAATGCAGTTGCCCTTGGTGTACTTGGAGGCGCTCTGCTCGCCGTAGCCTGTAGTGTTGATGACAACGGTGAAGAGCGGGACCAAAAGAATGACGGTGAAACCATTTCTCCACTATCCCTCTCACTCTCCTTCTCTGGATGCTTGGCAAATAATGCTCTGCTTGAGAAGCACGCAAAATCCTGCGGTTTTTGTTCTTCAAGGACCTCATTTGACAGTGCTCAATGAGGTCAAGGACCAGGTTTAACTTGGCCCTTGGACTTGGAGAGCTTTTTCTTCAACACATGAAGTGCCATGGATTGACCGACCTCCGAATCTTGGGATATCGCGCTTGCACAGCACTTGCGCAGCGCAAGCAGTGCCAAGGCCATACTTCCAAGAGTGGACGCATTTTGGAAGGTCCCCAGCCAAAGCATGGTCCCAGCACCAGCCACCATATCTTGTTCTGAAGGTGGTCTGTTCGGTTCTCCATTGTCTCGACTGAAAGTAGTACTCAGACTGACCCATGACCTCTAATCTGTGTTTTGTTTTCTGCCGGTGCACCCACTGTAGTAGAGGAAAGTAGTCGTTAAGTGATGTTAAGGGACCATGGTCCACTTCCAAGTTAGAGATTCGGAGTGCACCCGGCAGACCTCTCAATCCATCACCTCCCTGTCCCTCAGGGGATGCAGCTCTGTTGCCAAAAGGGCATGCACCGCTGCGTTCCTTAAAGACTCGCCCCAAGGTGTGAGCGCCGCTCAATGCCACAATCTCCTCGCTGGCTTCGAAGGACCAAGCGAACACATGCGACCGGCTAAGAACCGGCTCCCTCTGTGGCGACCGGCTCGCGCGGATCTCAAGTCCTGGGTATTGGACACCCAGGAGGTCAAAAAGGCGCAAGCAAGGGGGATCAGAACAGAACTGAATGTGAACCGCCTCGTGGTTTTCAGGGAGTCCTCCTCGTCTCGACTCGAAAACCACAGAAACCGGACGGGCCGAAACGCCTCGGCTCATCTCCCAAAGCCAGACTTTCCACAGGCGGCAGCCTCATGATCCTCATGGGTGTCTATTAGGGATATGTTTTTAAAGATTGGAACATGAAATGCAGACTCTATCCCTTGGCTGGGAGGTCGCCCCTGTTGTGTCACACTGTCACACCCCTCCAGGAGTCCTCAACTTCACTCGGCTCCTGATCCGTGAAGCCCATCTTCTTCCCGAAGACGTTGCGCAAGTGCTCCTCGTGGCGTCAAGCGTCAATAGCGGGGTAGACAGTAGAAACCAAAGGCCCAAACCGAGTTTTCGCATCAAAAAACATGGTTCTGTGGTGAAACCCTTTATTGTTCATGGGTTTGAGGGTCACTGGTCGGGGGTAGAAAGGCAAAGCTTCCCATTTACCACTCACCACTCACCTCCTAAGTCCTAAGTGCAGCGTGCAACGACTTGGGCCGATCTCCTAAAACGACACACAGTCTCCGGCGAGAATGGTCCGCTCAGATGTCTCCTTTGGGAGCTGGAAGCCAATCTCTTATTGAGGTGGGAGGGGTTTTGGGACTTCGGCCCCCTCAAGGTCCAAAGACCCAGTCGAACCTGGCAGACACCTCATTGAGCACTGCTTCGCATGACCAACAAGAGTGAGGCATCCCCCACCCGTTACCCACCCGTTACCCACCCACCCACCCACCCCCTCACCCCTCACCCCTCCCCCGGGCTCCTCCGGCTTCTGGGCACCGCACCCGAACGGCGGCGCCGCGTCGGGGAGCCCCGCGTTGCCCTTGAAGCCCTCGCGCGAGGCGGGGCCCGCGCACTGCGAGGGGTCGGTGACCGACACGCGGCCGTACTTCATCTTGATCACCGGGCCACCTGCCGGACGAGGTCGACGAGCCTGGGAAGGGTGGAAAGTGGAGTTCGCCTTTTCCACCCTCAAAGAGTCCAACGAAAAAGGCTCCGACTCAACAACCCCGAAGAAGGAAATAGAATGAAATGCTAACTACCGTGTAATGAAATCTATATTTTATATATGCACGAAATATATGTGATTTAATATTTATATTTATATATAATTGATTATAATTGTACACCTGGAAACTTCATTGTGCGAAGGATATTCCAACTGGTTCTTAGGCTTGGCATGCCAGATGCCCCTCCGTGCGCCGCGTGGCTGGGGGGAAGAGCATGACCCCGGGCCGTCCGGTCCCCCAAAACCCGAGCAGAACTGGAAGACCTTCCGCAGGAAGACCCCTGAAATCCACCAACTGCCGATGTTTGTAGGTCGATGATGCCCGTCCGAGAGATGCACCGTTCTACGACTTCGGGAGTGAGACGGCTCCGTGGCCGGTTCGTGGGAGGCAGGCGGGACCAGTTCGGGGGGATGAATCGACCAGCCTAGTGACAACGACCATCTGTATAACTAGGATGGCGCATGTGACAACGACCATCTGGCAAGAAGCACCGAATGCATGGGAGATAGGAGCTTTGAAAAGTCGGGGTTGGAAGCTGCTGGCAAGGGAGAAGGCGGTCAATCCTGCAGGAGCACCCCAGGCAACGTTTGAATTCCTGGACGGAGAAAACACACCTGGCAAGAGGCCCATGCTCATTCCAAGGGCTTGCGGCAGCCCCGCGATCAGAGAAAAAGTACCAAAGGTCTTGACCCCAAACACTGCCCAGCCCTCCATTGGGCACCCCACCCCGAATCTGCAACGCTCACCCCACCTGCCATTTCGATGGCAGTCGCAGACGCCAGCTGAATGAGATCAGCCCAAGAGACGGATGGGTGGTTCTTCTGGATCGTCTCCAAGTAGCCTCTGGCCTTGTCAAGTCCTGAAACCAAGGAGCAAACGAAAAGAAACAATAAGAACAACGTGCAAAAAAAAAACTTGGGGAGCCAACCTGGCATTCAGTCTCTTCCAACCGAGCCAAAAGAATATCCTTCTTCCTTGTCCTCGACCTCCCTCGCCCCATCTCTGACAGCCCCACCATCTCCCACCCAATCTCTCACCCTCTGATACCCACCGCCCTCCTCTGACTAGTGCTTAGTAAGGAGTAAGGGAATGGATCCTGAGATATCCTGAGGTATCTACATGTATCAGGGCTGGTTCATTCCCTCATTCCCGAGTCGCACGAGTCTGTCCTGCGTTCGCTCCCATGTTCATCTCCGGGTCAAAGCGGATCGCGCCGTTGGCACCACCCCGTTGAGGCCAATCCTTGATGCGCTGGTCATAGGTGCCGCTGTCGTGCCAGGCCAAACGCACCAAAATCGGATGGCAGTTCCTGGGACGTGTTTGGACTCCACGGCCTCTCGAGAGTTGCTCTCTATCTGAGTCATATCTGCATCATCACATCACTTCATAGTGCTTCGCCAAGCATCCGGGTCTCAATCAGCGTCTTAATCTCCTTGGCCGCAAGATATTGAACCGACACACACACACACACACGCACACTTAAAAGATCTTATGCTCTTCGGTGCGTATGCACACTCCTCCCCAAAAATGTGAAGGAAAGTTGCCTTACAGGTCCAGTCTGACCTAATAAAGCGTGGTCCCTTACATCATTGAGCAGTGCTTTTGTATCACCAACTCCCGTTTTCCCATGAGGTGCGTTTCTGACCTGTAGAGTTGATGCATTCTTCTGACCAGTCTCTTCTTTGCATGCGCGCAGCTCGGCCGCCTTGGGATTGCCACCGAGCATGGCGAAGCACCCATTGGAGCACGCGTTCCCCATGGCGTCAGGCGAGCAACAAAAAGAGCGAAGAGGCTGTGGAGGAGAACTTGGACGGCAAAAAGGTCTCTGAGCCAGTCCGATGGACGAGAGAAAGACTTGGTCACACATCTACGAGCACCACAAGATATTGTATCACAAACTATGTACTGCATTATGCTGTAAGTGCGTTCACAAAACAAGAAAAGAGAAAGGACCATCACGACCTCTTTTGCTCCCAGCGGTTTCCACCGCCCTGGCACATGCCAACATCACCGCATCACAGCTCTCGCCCTCTGCCAGCTGCACGGCTCGCCGCCACACCGCCGCCCGGCCCAGCGTCGTCACGGCCGTGCCGGCCACGCCGCCGCCGCCCACGCCCCGCGTGGCGGCCTGGTGCACCAGCGAAAGGGCCAGTGGCCAGCGGGCGGCTGGGCAGGCGGTGATGGCGGTGCTGTAGGAGATCACATTCAACTGACAGGTGGCCAAAGAGAAAGCGCTCAAGAGTTGAAGCACCAAGCTCCACTCGTCCGCGTCAACCCCCTGCGCGGCCAAGAGGAAGCTGTTCAGGGTCACATCGTCAGGGCGGACGTCTTGCTGAAGCATCGGGCTCCAAAGCCCCAAAGCCTTCTGCCATTCGCGCGCCGCCGCGCAGGCCGACACCGCGGCGTTGAAGGTGACCACCGTGGCGCGCAGCGACCAGCAGAGCACACTTCCCAGCACCTGCAGCGCCTTCTCCCAAAGAGCCACCTGGGCATAACACGTGACCAGTGCATTGAGCATCACCACATCCCGGTCGTTCGTTTCATCAAAGACCTCCAAGCTTCGAGGCCACGCATGTCCTTCCGAGAAGGCCTTCATGGCCATGGTCTTCAACCCCACACCGGGCCCCCTCCTCTGGTGGTCCAACGACGCCGAAGCCGACAGGAAGTGGAGGACCTCCTTCCACCCACCCGCGTCCAGCTGCGCGGCCGCCACGTTGCATTCGGCCACACCGCCCTCCAGCGCGACCCTCTGGCGCTGCGCGGAGGACAGCAGCCACAGAGCGCGGGGCCAGTAGCCATGGTGGCGGCTCTGCGCGAGGAGCGCGCCGAACGAGGTTTTGGTCATGGGGAGCTCCTCAGTCTTGGCCCGCTGCAAAGCTTCCAGGGCTTCCGGCCAGGGCGAGGTAACCAGTCCAGCGTTGTAGGAAATGATGCTGGCCTGGGCGTTGATAGGGAGCTCAAGTGGTCCTAACAGGATCTTGGAATGCTTTGTGTGTGAGGATGCGGAGCCTCATCTTCAGGGAGACCACTTGCACAAATGGGCTACGGCTACGTCAAACTGGTGAGCATTTCGAGCCCCACAAAGTGATCCGAAGCGACCTCCACAAACCGCAATCAAAGGCTTAGGATTTCCAGCAGGTTTCAATGTTTTGCGAACCTCCTGCGGACCTATGATCATTCTCACGTAATGGCTTTGAAGTCTTCCAGGTGCATCTGCTCCAGGGTGGCTGTATATTAATGTACAAAACATATCTGAAGCTCCCCCGAGCATAGCCGCCCAGCAGCCTGAAGTCTCAGCTGCTGCAGTTGCAGGATCCGTCTGGCCTTCTTCCAGGGAGAGGAAGACATCACGGTGTTGTACACGAACTCATCTGCCTCCGGCGCAACTCGCACGAACGGGAACAAACAGCAGGTGGTGATGGAAGAAATGGCCAATGTCGCAGAACCTCAAGAACCTAGACCATGTCACATGTTTTGAGGGTGTATCTTGCATTTCTCGCAAACTTTCAGCACTTGTTCTGCCATGTTCTGCCCAAGCGCCTCCAATTGCCACTGCAAGTCCTGCAGAAGTGCAGCGGACTTGGTCCATGGGGCGCCTCCCATGGCAGCTGAGTAGGCACGGCAGTCCACCTGCACCTGACCATGCGGAACTTGAAGAGGAGCAAGATGCGTCAAACACATCCAGGTCCAACTGAAAACGAGATGGATCTCCTTTAGGGCGTGCCTAAACGACATTTAAAAAACTGATTGCTGACCCAGAAAGATCCTCCAGCTCCCCACCTTTGCACTTGTCATCTGTCGGAGCATATTTTGAGCATCCGGCCAGCGCCCTGCGGACTGCCATAAGGACAACCTTAGGGCGCCAACAAACGCCAGGTTTCCCGCATGCAGCTGCAGCTGCGGTCAACGTGTTGGAACCAGGTGAATGCTTGATATTGCTTGGTTCTGATCTGAAACCACCACTCCAAAGGTCTATGAGAAATCTTTCGGAGTTGTTAAGGGAAAAAAACGGTTGCCAAGGCTTTCACTAGTCAAGTCACTACAGAAACAACAGAAACAGCCACGGAAAGGCTCTCTGGTCTGGTTCGGAGATGGATTCCATGATTTCAAATGCTTTGCCCTGGCTCCACTTCAACAGCCTCCAGACCTGCTGCCCCTAGAACCCATGTTTTGGGACTGTGCTTCTTCCAACCTCACTCAACTCAGTCTAGCTTTTCAGGTCATTTCCCCCCCCCAGTCGCATCTGAACCAAAGATCCTTGACCTCACTCTTCTTACCTTTCGCCACGGGGACGCCAGACCGAAGGACTTCACGTCCATCTCGAGGCCGCGCGTCGCCACCTCTGACAGCTGCCCCAAGGCCTGGACGCTGGTGGAGGGACCGGTGGAGGGATCGTTCAAGGACGGTCCAGGGATGAGGCGGGAGGGATGGATGGATGGGTGGTTTTTTTCTGCAGGTTTGAGGTGAAATCCAGGTGCGCTGGTGACCCCACGTCCAAGTGAAAAAGTGAGCTGGTGGGCGTGCTGATGACGAACTCCTCGCAGATCCAAGAAGGGGCCCAGACCCTTCCCCGTGGCATCGGCTGTGAAAAGAGCGCTCATGATACAGCAGATGGGATCACTTCGGTCGCCTTTCTTGGTGTTCATGCTTCAGGCCTGCAGGTGTTCGATGAACTGCTCTGGTCTCCCTTCTCTCATGGCCTTCTCGTGTGCCCCCAGGCGAGAGGGCGCTGCTGTAACACAAAGCTTCATATCGTCCAGGGGGCAGGGTACAAGGGTCCTGTGCTATAGGAACCCGCCCACCAGATCGCATGGCCCTTGGGTCGCCCCACCTCGCCCTTTCCCAGTGCCCTCGCCTCCGGCCAGTGCTCTTGGCCCGAGGCCTCCGCACCACGCTTCAGCGCCTGGGCAGCTTGCTTCTGGGTGACGCCGTCACGCTGCAGGCGTCGCGTGCCGCCGCGGAAGCGCCTGGCGGGCGTGCGCAGTCGAACGCAGTCAGGACACCTGCGGCCTGTGCTTCGTGCGACTTTCTGCACGCTTGTCAACAGTGGAAGAAGGAGGAAATCATGAAACCCTTGAAGACTCCAAAAAGCTGCAAGGCTGCGTCGGCGAAGTCGTTTTCACATTCTGCTGCATGAAGCTGGGCCCCCCTCCCACCGATCAAGTCCAGACTCTTTGCTTGAAATTTAGCTAGGCGCTGGGGCTCAAAATGGCGCAATACCAGACCATGCCTCAGAAGCAGCAAAGCTTGTCGCCAGTATGAAGACTTCACCTTCGGCCAACGAGGGTGCTTGGCAAATCAATCGCATCTTGGGTGTGGCGCATCATGGGCGTGAAAAAGAGAGAACCCCAACCCGCACTGAATCTACACTCTGAATCACGAACACGGAACTCGAAAACTCCCTGTTGGTAGGGGAGTGTTCGTCTTCCAGGGGGGCATATGGATCATTACACAGGGAAGCTTGTATATAGACTTCTGCCAGTCAACTTCAAACGCTGCAGCCGACCCAGCACCGAAACCGCTGCACCGACGCAGAAAGACACCCGCTCGCACAGCCCCGGCGACCAGGTCGCACAAGCGCCCATGCCGCTGTTGCAGCTCACCACGTTGCCCACCCGTCGTTCCAGCATGTGGTTCAGGAGCAACAAGGCTCCATGCCAGGCAGAGCTTGCGATCGCCTAGGCAAATAAATAGAAACATATAGAAACGGTTTCCAATACATTTCTAGTGGGGATCTACTTTTCTATTATTTGGGGGTCTATATCATCTATTATAGGCAAATCGATCACGCGAGGTCGTGTGCTTGGGCTCGTCTCGAAGCATCAGCGGTGTTTTCAGCAGCGGGGGAGCATGGGCAACCTTCGGATATCGCAGCTCTTGGTTTGCACAAGCCATGCCAAAGCTACCTCAAAAAAGAGAACTTGATCCTTCGTCCAACCACGTGGAGGTGGAACATGACCCTTTGGAAGATTCATTGATTCATGATGTCCCTCCCTCTACCATCTGCTGGTCCAATCTGTTTGGTGTCCAGATCTCCGTTGCTTGGAGTTCCACGGCTGGTCGGGCCGAGCAGCTTGGTTGCAAGTCCGCAACGTGGCCTCCGACGCCTCCAGGCAGAGGCAGAGGACAAAACCGGCGTTTCGGACTGGACGGGCTGACCCCCCTGGAGTCCTGTCAAAGTCATTCCTGTCTGATCCGAGTCCTGTCTTGTTTAGTTCCGTTTCTGTTTGTTTTTGTTTCATTGCACTGTCTTTTCTGTACATGTCGGCTTTCTTCGTTTCTGGTCCTTGCGTTGCCGTTCGTGTCCTCTCGTTCTTTCTGCTTTAATTCCTCTTCTTTTCCTTACGTACTTCTTTTCGTGTTCCTCCTTTGTTTCTTTTGTTCTTTCTTTCTTCAGTACGTCAGTGTGACCTCCAGCTCCGCCAGAGCCCTCTGCCAGCTGCTCTTCGACATCTCAACCCATGGCACGAGTTTCAGTCGCACAGCATGAGTGTCCCGGCCCTTCTGTGGGAGTGCAAAGGGGGCCTCTTGCCATGCTGGGTTTCAAAGGTGGACTTCAAGGATTGTCTGGAATTCCCCAAGATTCCACATGGAAGATTCGGGTCCCAACACCTGCGAAGACGTCGGGTGTAAAGCTCTCTGGATTAGCTGCCACTGTCGGTGCTTCAGCACCCATCCGTTTTCGAGACCGCTCCAGAAGGCTGAATGTCTGGACAACCCAGGTAGTCAAGAAGTCATGAAGTCGAGGTGTGCTGCCTCAACTCACCTTTGGGCAGCTCATTTGACTGCCGTGTAACGAACTGAAGTTGGGCTGGCCAGTCTGTGAGGAGCCCGTCATGTTTTAATCTGACTTCGCATGAGGTCTAGCTCAGGATTTGATCAAAAGGATCCAATTACTATACATGTACTGGATTTCCGGCAATTGAATTCCTTGGGAGTACCAACAAGGATCATGTTCTTTGCCATGTACCATCTTCAATTTGGTCCGTCAAGCCGATCCGCCAACCGAGTGAGCAATTGCTCGGTGTCACGCCTGGAATCATGGACCAGAGATGGACCACTGAGACTCCTGGGTTTTTCTCGAAACTGGGGCCTCCAATGATCAAAAGCTGCTTCTTGGAGGCTTTCAACCAGCAACATCAGTCAACGAGCAACATCCTTGTGCACCAAAATGCTAATGGTGATGAAAGCAACGCAGTTTGGGGCAAGCCAGAACTCGACCCCTATCCCAGCACTTCGCAAACGTCCGCGTGCGGGAAAACCGCCGGTGTCCCTACCATATCCTAGGAGTTCTGGCAACCATTTTTGGTCACAAAAGGAACTTGAATGCGAAACTAAGGACATCCTGGAGCCAAGTTGTGAAACAATGACTTCACCGTCCACATCTTGCCAGAAAACCAAACGCCTCACCTGAATTTTCCACCTGTTCTTTCTCCCTCTCGGCTTCAATCCATGGGGCCGACACCCGTCCACTCGATCATCCCCTCAGCTCGCACCGGCACCGCTGTGCCTCCGGGCACGGGCCGATAGCCCAAATACTAGACCAATGGGATGTAGACGCTGGATGATCTCTCAACCCCCCAGGTGAAGAGGCTTTGCAATCCAGATGGGGTGGTCTTGGTAAAGCAAGAGTCTAACTTCTTTGTTGCACAGTTCCCGACATCAGGCCTGCCGAAGAAGCACTTTAAAAGATTGGGAGGACTGGGGCACATTTCTCATGTGGTCGTGGCCTTCTTCAGGCCTACAGTAATTCAGTTTGATCCAACTTCAAATGAGATCTCAAGCTCGCTCACTGGGAAGAACCTGACAGATGCAAGAAGCACCTCAAAGCACAGTAACTGCATGAGGCCCGCTCGAGCCGGAAGGAAAAGAAGGTTTGGCAACGCGTGGCCAAGCTTTCGGGCAGGGCTTTAGGCGTTCAAGTGGTTTCGGACCCAAACTGTTTGGGACCCACAGGAAGTTGAGGCGCCCAAGCTGACAGCAACAATACAAAACAATCAGCAGAACGGATCTGCTTGGGGTTGTGCCTGCTTGCCATGGTTGAAAGATGTTGAAAGTAGCGGGTCACCCGCACTTCCCCTAATTCTCATCTATCAGGCAAAGCCAAGACGTCCCAGAACCTTGCTCGCATGCTTTCCGCCCAAATCATCGAAATGGCCTCGACTCAATGGATACTCTCTGCTCTCCCCACACAGAATTTGGGGTTTGAGACTACCAAGTAAAGACTAAACACCCGGCCCCCCCAAAAAAAGCACTGCAATGGATCGAATCGAAACATCTCCTCTTTTCGCACCTCCAAATTCCGCAGATTCTGCCCCTCCAGGCACTGCAAACGCTGCAGCAGTGACATCGACCGCCCGCCAGCCTCACAGTCCCAGCCGTGCGGTGTAACAAAGCACGGGTCTTATCTCTGACAAGGTTTTTGCTGTGATAGATTGTTTCCTGGCTCATGTCCACTTCCATGATGGTTGAATGAAGCCATCTGCAGCGAATGCCCACATCAGCCTCCACTGCAGCCAACGCTCTCTCGGCAGTGACCACACTGGGCTGCAGCGCTGAGCCTGGCTTCTTGCCGCAGGCAGGCAGAAAGCACACCAGGTGAAGATCTGGGAGGCTGGACATGTTTGACTCTTGACTCTTGCCACTTGCCGTATCTTTTGGTGATTCTCATGGTCCCACTCTCAAAGGATGTAGTTCGAGCCAAACAGCGTTCCCAAACGACCGCCAGCGTCGCCTATGAGTTCCTCCTCCAAACGGAGGGCCCAGCGCCACCTGAGACGAATTGAAGCAGGCTTGGAAGGGTGAAGGGCTTGGAAGGGTGAAGCGGGGAGCGGAACAAATGTGCTGATCCTGCTGCGGTTGGGCACCCCTCCCCCGCATGGAGGTGACTGAAGCGCAATCGGTCGATGCACCTTGGTGACTTAGACCACCTTCCAGCTACCCCACATCGCTTCAACAAGTCTCTCCCCAGTTGTCCCGCACTTCTGCCGTCCCTTCCCTTCAGACTGGGTGGAGAAAAAGAGAAGACCACGCACAGGCTGGAGGGCTGGGCGGCCCCCACTGCATCGCCTGCTGGCAGCCCGCCACCATGGCACTGAAGGTGATCACCCGTGGCTCCAAGTGCGAGGCCTCAGAACGGACTCAGGGGTATATATAAGCGTTCCAGGGTGGTGTGGGGGGTGTATAAACACGGGGGTTCTTTACTCACCACGAGGCCACTCACGCCAACGTTAGTCTGTGTCTCGTTTTTCGGACCACCATCCCATTTCGGCACCTGGAAGGCTCTCAGCAGTTGGAGCCCTTGATGCCAGGCAAGGGCCCCCATGCCACTCTCAAAGGCTCGCAGCAATGCATTGAAGCTGATGCTGTCCTCGGCTTTGAGGACGCCCTGGCTCCCAAAACCCCAACCCGTCTATCACCGGCGGTCCTCCATCGAAACCATGGAAAAAGACTTCAACAAAAATGTCTAAGGCGCCGTGGTTCAACAGAGCCGATTCCAATCAAGGGTTACGGCTACGGCCATCGGCCTCATCGGCTTGTTTTGGCTCCATGTTCCCCATGTGTGGATGGTCTTGGACAGGTCTTTGCCGTGGTGGGTCTTCCTTTTCACCCCTTCTCCTCACCCGGCACCCCTCGCACCGAGCGTCTGCCTCGGCCCCACACGCTGCAAAGGCCTCCACCGCCTGGCGCCAGCGTCCGCGCGCGGCCGACGGCGCCGCGACGGCGCTCAGCGCCGTGTTGCGGGCCACGAGGTTGGCCTCCAGACCCAGCAGATGCAGCAGGTGGAGCACCCAGGACCACTCCTGGCAGGCGAGTGTATATCTGCCGCGACGGTCGTATAGGGCTTTGCCCAGATTTGACAGGATCGATCTCCACCCAAGATGTGGAGTTGGAGCCACTTCTTGAACTTTAATTCTGATGCTCTAATCCAACCCCCATCTTCCAACTTCTATAACAGAAGTCTCTCCCAGAGGGCACCTGGCTCTTCTCTGCGGCCAGCAGCACGGTGCGGCGCCCCACCGCATCGGTGTCCTGCCAGCGCCACAGGCTGCGACGCCATAAGCCATGCTGAGCCCAGGCGGCCAACGCCACGTTCCAGGCGTCTCCTCGAAGCAAGGCCTCAGCCACCTGATCCGGGCATTCGGCACCCCATGCATGGGTGTGGGTGAGGTCCAGATCGACAGTTATTGGTTGATCGAACGTTTTGGGAAGAGTGCACCCACACATCCTCGAGGTTGAAGGAAGGCACCACTCGATTTCAGAAGACCCGAAGGCAAGTGCTAGGAACATCCAGGAACAAACCCACAATGTGCATACCCATCTTCTACCAGTCCAACCAGTCACCTCAAGGAACCTCGGATCCTCAAGCTCAAGCTTTCTGCCCCAAGTCTTCGAAACCGACCGGACACCTCCCCTGCTGCGGCGCGCCTCCCAGCACCCCGCACGCCCACATGCACCCGCTGGGAACGCGCGAGGTGTGTCGTGGCGTGCGGAGTAGGAGAGCGCCCAGCGCCAACGGGTGCCACAGGCACCAAGAACCTCGGTGAAGGGAGCTGAGGTTCTGCCGAACGCCACGTCTTGGCAAGCAAAGAATCAGGAAAAAGTCGGGAGACAGATCGAAAACAGAACGTGCTTAGAGTCTTGGAACCAGTGGTGGACTAACATCAGTTTGCATGAGCAAAGTTCTAGTTTGCAGGCTTTGTGACGGTCCGTGGTTGGACTAACACCAGTTGTACCGGAGAGATGTCATGGCTATGGTTGATGTCAGGGCTGAGCCCTGCTTCGTTGGATGTGCCTGAGCAACAGCATCAAGACATGAGTCTGTTGCCTTGGGTCCACGTGTCAAGCGGACACGGGAGAAGATGATGGAAGACCTTTCCGAACCGCTCGGTGTTCGGCCCTGTTTGGGTGTCTCAAAGACTAGAGGTATGAAGCCTTAAGGGGTTCATATGGTTCATTAGCTTTAGTTAAGGCAGTTAAGGAACCACCTCACACCGATATGAACAGAGCCTGGAGGAAAAAAAATGCCGGGCAGTCTGAGCGCGCACAATCTCACTCTCAGCGGCCATCTGCGTTGCAAGCGCACCGGCCTGGAGCGCAGCAGCAGCTGTGAGCGCCGCCAGCCACTGGCCGGCCCGCGTGCCTGGGCGCAGGGCGTGGGAAGAGCTGCTTTTCCGGGGGGAACGCGGGGGAGGAATGCGGGAAGAGGACTGTAGCATTGGGTTTGAGCAGATTCCAGATCGACGTTGCAAAGAATGCTCTTTTTGGAGTGGATCTTGAACAGTGGTGGAAAGGTGGCGCGAAACAAGAGTTCAGGTGACCGCGCACACCACGAGGGGTTGTGATCCAGAGAAATGTTCAAAAGGGCCCGTGATGTAGGGCCTATTAGGGCCTACGAAGAGTTGGTTGGAGGTCCACCAGAACCGGCTGAGCCTACAAGCGAGGAGATTCCACCAAAACCTGCTATTTGGAGCCAGCCAGCCCAAAACTGCAACTTCCACTGCTTCCACCAAATGGATCTAGACTAAGCCCTCGTTCCTTCATGCACCGCGATAAGCCGCCGATTCCGCTTGTGTTTTGGGGGGGCGAACAAAAGCCACCGCCCCGCCGCCACCGCTTTCGGACGTCGGCGGGGTGTTCGGTCCAACGAGTCGTTCTCATCTGTTCATTTGATGCGGTGGGTGGAGGTGGCTACCCCCCAACAAATGTATTGATATATCAACGGATAGGCATATTCATACATATTGCATTATATGTGTATATCATATGGTATACATGTTAATCATACGGTTTTGGCGGGGCCCCAACGAACCGCCGGCTTTGTCGTCCTTGATATGAGTTTGGTGATTAAGACAAAGTAAGGCATTGGACTTCTCCTGGGGCCTTCCCACCCCTTCAACCACACCCCACACCCTGCTCCGAGCCACACACGCCGACCGCCGCATTGGAGCTCACGGCCCTTTCCCCTCCGCCACCGGCGAGGGCCCAGCTGCCGTGCGCGGCGCTGTGCGCGGCGAGGGCCGCTGGCCAGGTGGAGGGCGGCAAAGCTGCCAGGAGCGAGGTGAAGGTTTGAAGGTTCCCAGCACCGGAGGCCTAATTAAGCTTGGGAGCCGAAGTCAGGCGCCGGCAGCGCTCCAGAGGAGCCGACGGAGTCGAAAAGGAGCCGATCCCCAAAGAACCAGGAGGTTTTCCCCAGAGTCGGATACATAATCGGGTAAGTAGGAAGAGGTGGACGCGCCGTTGAGCAGAAAAAAGACGAGCGGTAAAAAGGTCGCAAGGAAGCGAACTCGAGTGGGTGCTCAAGCGAAGTGACCGTCGGCGACCAGTTCTTTGGGAGAAATGGTGTCGCAAGGCGGCCAGGCGAGTTTGAGGGACCTCCAGCTCTCCTTACAATGTTGGGCTGGAGTGCACCAAGAGTTGCTGAGTTACGGTAGGCGGTCCGTGCATGTTCAAGAGTTTTCTCCATCCACCACGTCACCTGAACTCCAGTGTCAACCTTCATCAGCTGTACTGCGTTTTCCCCCCTTCGCCCTTCTTTCAACCTTGACCTCTTCGTGCCCCTTATGAACCTCCCCTCCCTCCTGTCAGGCCCTGGCCTCCCACAGCTGCACGGCCGAGCGCCACGCGCCGGACTCGCCCACGGCGACCATCACCTGGTTCTGCCATGCACCGTCTCCGCGCACCGCGGCGCGCCGCAGCGGTGGGAGCAGGTCCAAGGCCAGGCGCCAGGGCGTCGCCGAGCTCAGCGAGGAGCTGTAGCTGATGACCTCGGCCAGCGGACGTTCCGCAGGCGGGGTCAGCAGGTCAAGTCCCAGTTGAAAGGGAAGATCTACAGGAAACCCATAGTTCCGGGGAGCTACCAACCAATATTTTGGGTGGGGTGTCCCTTTGACCGATCCATTGAAGAACTGCATGGAGCTGCAAGGTTGGAAAGCGGATGGGGGGTGTAAATTTTAGTAGGTCCTTTTTGCACAGTCCTTATCTCAGCATGCCTCTACCAACTTCATCCGCAAACTGCCGCACCGTTCACCCACACCAAGACGCATCCGGCTGAAGGGCAGAGCTCCGACCAAAACCCAGGAGCCTCCAAGCCCTCTGCCACTGCTGTGCCTTGCTCGACGCGCTGGCCGCCGCGTTGTAGGACCACACGTCGGCGGCCTTCACGGCCCAAAGCTGTTGGGTGGCCGCGCGCCAGGCTGAGGAGAGCTTCTCCTAGCGACACAGGTGAAAACCACAGTGAGGGTGGTTGGGAATGAATAACCATCCCGAAGCAAAAGAATAAACCCTGAAAAAACACGCCAAAAAAAAGAATAAACTCTGAAAACTCACCCCAGTGACGCAATAAGGGAGGTGCTTGATTCCCGGTAGACCATCAAGTAGACCGTCAAAGGAGCGAACGTGACCAAAAACGAGCCTTTTCCACCAAACGCACCAGGTTCCGACGGGTCACCAGCTTCTCTCCAGCTAGCTGGAGGAGTCCAGTATCAATTGGAACTATAGCTTGATGCACTCGAAAAGAAGGCCATGCAGGTTCAAAAGCGGCAGGGGTGCCGACAGGGTCCAGTTCTGAGGCATCCAATTGGCTAACACGCCTTTGTGCAAATGCGACCATGGTACACCCACACTAATTCCACGACCTGGTCCTTTTTTGGCCCTCTTTGGACACTCGAAACTCTCGCACCCCGTCCAGCCCATCTCCATCCCTGACGTACAAATTCTTCGGTCCCAGCATCCACCCGCGAGCCATGCGCGCTGATGAGGACATTGCAGCTTACCAGGTCGCCTTGGAGTGCAGCCTCTTGCGCCTGCTGCATCTGCTGTAGCGCCGCGCTCCAGGCGCCCGCCTGGGCGCGCGCGGCCCGAGCGGGCGGAGAGAGAGGGGCGAAACCGTGAAGAAGCATCGACCGAGAGAGAGTCAGAGGAAGTCTTTCTTTGGAAGATCTTTGAGCAGGCTTTGGCAGGCGGCAGGGTAAATCCCAAATATCATGGATACAAGACAAGGAGGACCCCTGTTAGCCAGGTGGGCAACTGGTCTTACAAGCGCCGTACTTATCGTACTTCAGTCACACGAGGCCGTGAGAAGTCAGTTTATCTCCACATGCAAAAATCATTGCTTGATGTTTTTACGTCATTTTGCGCCACTTCCACGTTTGGAACCTCCCCCGCGACTCACACGCCCCCCCTCTCCCACAATGCCTACACCGCGCCTTCCCACACGCGCCCGCCGCGCTGTTCACCATCACCACATCCCTCCTCTGCCGCTGACGCTGCAAGGCCTCCAGCAGCCGCACACCGCAGCGCCACCCGTCGGCGGCCGAGACGTCCCGGATGAGGCCGGGCGTGCGGCGGAGGTCCGGCAGCAGCCGGTGGTGGAGGGAGACCAAGGCGTCCAACCATGACATGGCTCGGTCGCCCGGTGCGTGGGACGTACGCGGATTGGTGGCACTTGGCCCATGGCGTGTGCTCAGAACTGAGTTTGAAGATGCTAAAGATTGGCCGAAGCCCACCCCGCGCCCAACCAATTCCGTTAATTCCTGCCTGTTGAGGGCCAAGATGGCAGTGGCGGTCGATGGGTCGTCGGCTGGCACCCCACCACCCCGGTCCCGATGTCCTGGCACCCTTGTCTTTGACCGTCGCTGCCGGGCGTCCCGGTTCCGGCACGGCCCGGCTTCCGTCATCTTTGGACGGCGCGGCAGGGCCTCCACTTTCCCCAAAAGAGGGAAATCAGCAAGGCCCTGATCTGTATACAACCCTCAAGGCCGGACTCTGAGAGGAAATGCTGAAAGGTTGAATGGGTCTCAAGACGGTCGAGAACCTGCTCCCTGCCCAAACATGCGAAGACAGGCGACTGCTGGGCGGATTTTGGAACTCCAAACCACCCCAAAAGAAACCCAGAAGTGCCTTCAAACAAGTGTTATCTACGCCTGTCTCGATGTGCCTCTTCGAGCCCCTCTCTTCAAGCCAGACGGACGTGCCAGTGGGTCGCACAAGTCGCGCGGCGGCTGTGCCAACTTACAGAGCGAGGCAAGCAACGCAAATAGCGTCCCAAACAATCCATGGCATTGAGGTTGGTCAAGCCTTTAAGATCTTTCAGTCCCATCTCAACACATTGGGGTGGTCCTCCCAACTTTACGTTTGGGTGGATTTAAGATGTTTTAGGGGTCAATGTCCGTAATGGATTGTTGGTGAGCCATACTCCAACGAGGGGATGATGTTGCGCCGAAGAATCCTTGGAAGTGGTTCTTTTGACCCACCGGCCATGCCTCATCCGGCTGAACCTGTTAAATGTGTGAAGCGATGAAAGTATAAAAAACCACTCCTGAGCTTCGGTCTGGGGCACACGAACAATTCCTCTATTCTTAATGAGCTGAAGCAAGGTCCCCATACTTTCCCAAACAAGAACTCATATGAAACACACTTTTTCGATGAACAAAGGTCGTCCCATCTAGGGCCTCGGGGTTGATCCTTCTAAATTTTAAGATCTATCTTCAAGCAAAGGTAATTTGTTAAAGGGATTTTTTGTGGGAGCTATGGGAGTTTCTGACACGTGATTTGGCCAGCATCTGTGTGTGTGTGTGTGCGTGTGCGTGTGTGTGTGTGTGTAACCTTTGGAGTCAGAAGGTTCCTTTTGGAATGTTTTGTTTTGGATTTTGACTTTAAAGCAGGGGGACTGGCGCCGATTTGCCTATCCAGTCCAACGAAGCTATGGCATTTCGGTGGATGAGTGGTCTGATCAACCACTTGTACCTGCATGTTCTGACTTGGAACTTCCCATTTGGTCCCGTTGTAACTAGAACAAGCTGACCAGCCATTGCATCTGTTCACCATCGGCAGTCACGCACTTTGGTTTGAGTTTGAGCTTGACGTTTGAGCTTGGAGGTTGCGGGATTTTGTCGCTTTGAGCTGGCGTGTGGCAAACCGCAACCAAATCAGTATAAGTGTGTGTTTCTCTGTTTTTTTCTCTCTCTCTCTCTCTCCCTCTCTATCATTTCCATCATCTCTATCATATTAAATTGTCGGTGTTTTCTTTACACTGAATTGTCATCCAGCCGTCCACAATCTTGGGATGCCAACCTTTCCGCGCCCCAGCCTACACCCTACCAACCAGGCAACTGGGCTACCTATCATCTCTCTCTCTCCCTCTCTCACTCTCTACCTCCTCCATGTATCTATCTCTATCACCTCTCCACACCTCCAACCCTCACACCTTGCCCCGATCTCATGCTCCGGAGTCCGCTCAGCGCGGGGTTGGTGGCGCCGCGGAAGCCGCTCAGATGGCCCGCGGCTTCCCCTCAGTGGACAAACGCGTCCAGACCCGCTGCGAGGCATTCTGATCATCCACCAGGTCCCAAAGCTCCGGCAACACCTGAGGCGTCCAGCCCGGCACGTGGCTCGGACCGAGACGCGGGACGCGGCAAGTGCGGCGCCAAAAAAGAATCAGCGGAGGGGACCTTGGGGGGGGACCGGAAGTCCTGGATGGAAGAAGCCCACTGGGTGGAAACTTGGAAGTGGAGAAGGAAACTAGACGACAGGGTGGCCCGAAAGCATAGTATAGGAGTAAGCATTTTAACGAAGTGGTTCCAAAAGAAAACGAA